CTTTGGGAACCAAAGTGCAGTGGTTCCCAAACCTTTCAGCTTTTGACCCACAAAATAACATCAGCAGAGACCTGTGCCCCCAGCTAATTTTGTATGATAAACATTTGTATCAGGTCAACAAAACGTGGGCATAGTAATATTTTTATATTACATTTATCCATTTTAAATATACTAACCTAACACTTTGTAACAACTAAGGCAAAAATGTCATTAATTCAGAAAATCTTTTCAGGACCCCACCTTGATGTTTCGGGACCCCACTTTGGGTCCCGACCCCAACTTTGGGAAACACTGAGTTAGACTGTTACCATTTTCCTTGATCAGTTCCTCAAAACTCTGAGCCAACATTAATCATATCAGGGAATAGTTTTCAATCTCTGCCTGCATACAACTGAAGTTCATTTCTACACATGTATGGATATGTTTTTTCTAGTGTTTTTGAGTGCAAGGCCTCATAGTTGTCTTAGAGGAAATTATTTGACTGCATGGCGTCAGGAGGTGATGTTTCCTGCTTGTTAAAAAGCTGTAAGGTTTCCCTTTGCACGCATACTTAAATGCCTAGCATTCTGTGAAGGAAAGCACATCAGCTGTTTCCTTGTATGGCAGAGTTTTAAAACTAATCTGTTCTTTGTTGTGAAATGACAATTTCAGCTGTTTTGGTCGACTCTTGAAACTGATATCTTCATGATCTTGTGGGGTTTGTTAACACTTGACTCTCCACATCGATCTTTAGCTCAACATCTGTAAAGCTGAGTGGGTTTTTAGTCATTTGATTGTTTTCTAAGGTGTTGACTGCGGCAGCCGTCTTAATATCGTTTGACTCTAGATGTGAAATAAGTAGTTGCTGTAGATCTAGTGGTTACTCTCTGGGAGCATCTTTATAATCTGTCCAGTGAGTCATTAAATGTTTAGCTAATGGACAAGCAAAGTTGTTTTATTGTGCAGTGTATGTTGGGAATGATGTCATTTACTTCCAACCAAATTTTACCCATATTTGTAAAATTGGCTGACCTATAGATATTTTTTCGCATTGGGTAAGGTCAGCTGTAGTGACTAGCTTGAATTGGGTTGACTACAAAAGTGAAATGGTTAAAGATTTATCTCCAATAATTACTTTCTGAAGGTTTCATTCAAATTAATTCAAAAGTTCATAAGGTACTTTTGCTCAACATTTGTAAAAAAATGGCTGGGGTATATCCGTTTCGTGTTATGGCCGTGTTGAACGAGGCTGAACTCTAAAACCTTTACCGGTTTTAGATGGTCAACCTTCTGAAAGTGTCATCCAAAATCTGATCTCTCTTTGCCGTAAAAGTAAACCAAACGTCTTCGTGTCATCCTTAGGTCTTCTCTGCTGCAGATCAGACCTGCGCAGACATGGAACCGCTGGCGGTGGAAGACGACATCTGCATCCTCAAACACGAGACGGCCTACACAGCGGCCGGCGAGAGCCCCGTGTCGGTGTGCGCCGGGGATGAATCGGTCGCGTCCCACTTTGCCTTGGTCACAGCCTACGAGGACATAAAGAAGAGGCTCCGAGACACCGAGAGAGAAAACACTATGCTGAGGAAAAGGGTGAAGCAGCTGGAGGACAAGGTATGGATGTCAAAGGAGATAAGGAGGCACCTGTTCAGCTTCAAGTAAAGTGCTTTATAGATGTGTTTATTATTATTATTAGTGTGTTCTCTTTAGTGGTGAGAGGAAAGTCAACTTTATAATAACTGCTTTCCAACGAACTTATAGAAATCTCTTTTGTTTTTTTCCTCTTGCTTTTTACACCACAGCTTTTCAGGCCAGAGGCTCCTCCATCAGAGGGCCCCCATTATGTGAACAAGGCCTTCAGTGCCTACCGGGGAATCTATATAGAGAAGGAGGACCTGCAGATGGAGCTGAATAAACTGGTGCGTTTTCATCTAATCACAAACTAATATTACATTGTATCCAGGCCAAATGATTGCAGAAATGAACTGTATTCTGTTCTTTGCAATAAGGCTAATTTGCACCAACATTTGTAAGAACCTGCTTTATGAGATTAATGCCAGCTTAATCTCATAAAAGTCATGTRCCACAAGATCTTGCAGAAGGAAATCAGGAAATAATGAAACACCCCTCTGGTCATGAATGTGAAAAGAACTTGTG